ACGGCCGGTCGTCAGCGGGCCGTTGACGGCCGGCTCGGTACGCTGACGGCCGGCACCGCCCTTCATTTTTTTTAAACGGCATCATATAAGTTGCGCTGACAGGCGACAGAGGTCCACAGTTGCCCCGCAGCGATGCTCCCCCGCCCTCCCGTAGACATTTCACGAGCTCAGTCACTTCATAACACCAAAGATAGGTCGCGGTAAACACTCTGAAGTGAGGCTCCACTACACTAAAAAAGAAAAAGAAAAGGCAAAGTGTAATGCCTGTTAATAGCTTGCCACAGGCAAAGCTCAGTTAAAATAAAGCACAGCTATTGTGCAATACATTTGTATTGCATGTATATTTTTTAGTAACAATTTCAGTTAAAGCTTTTAAGAATAAATATATTTTTGTTATCTAAACATTTGACCTCTTTATTTTTACAATTTTGGAATCGAAACGGGGAATCGATAAGAACCGGAATCGATAAGCAGAACCGGAATCGAAATCGGAATCGATAAATTTCAAACGATACCCATCCCTAATTATGGGTAATGCTCAACTCTACTTGGGACAACCCGGATATCTGCGGTTTGGTCTTATGGACGCAGCACTACAGTACTGATGGAGCTGGCCTCGGAGGATTGAAACATGTGTAAAGCATGAAGGAGAGGTCAAAGGATCACTTTATAGGAACACTGCACACACACAGAGACGCTGTGCATCCATCTGGATCTCTTTTCAGAAAGTGTCCATCACGAGGCCCACCATGGCAAAGAAGTGCAATGGGAAATAAGTGGAGAAGGTTTTTTAGGATTTATAGACTGAACCGTTCCCCAGCTGATCAGAAACAATAATGGATGGACTTGAAAGCCCTTTCCACTGAAATGAGAGCCGTGTTAGTTGGGACGGTTGGTTCTCAATGTTGGACCAGTTACCTGTTCATTCGACAGCACTGTTTACGTCCCTGCATTTTCCAGCAAAGCCAGCTCAGGCAAAAACTACAGCAATGGCGGCTGCATTGGAGCTGTGCTCTCGTTGCTCTTCTTCAGATCCAGGTTGAACTGTTCCCACTAGGATTCAGAGGCATTCCCCGTTGCTTTAGTGACAGTCAGTAATTCACTGCTGACTGTCTCTAAAGCAACAGATGCAGATTTCCCCAGTGATTCATATTTTGTTCAGTTTTAATGTGCAATGTTTGACGTTACCTGCAAACGTTTCCCTGTATCATATGGATGATGTTAGCATAGCCAGTCTGATGAAGCAACAACCAGATTAAGAGCCATCAAACTAAATTAAACGTATTTAAAATAATAACACATGATGAACACTAGATGGTTACGGCGTTTTAATTATTCTCCATAAATGCACATGTTGCTATCATTGTGTCATTTGTCGTTTCTACCGGCGTTCTTTCAATAGGATTTCACTTGTGATCTGATATGACAACTTGTGTAGCCTACGGTATGAAGTGATCACACCTGAAAGCTGGTTTAAAAACAACAGGAGAACGGGTCGTGCTGCTCCTCAAAGCGGGCCATGAGAGCGAGCGTATCTCTACGTTTGCCCGGGGAAGGTGGCGGGACATAAACAAAAGTGTGAGTCTCGTTTTGGTCACTTTGCTCGGCTCTAGTGATCTGACCCAGCCTCCACACAGATCTGGTTCTTGGTTCCAGTCCAGCAGAGCTCTGGTTCCTAACACGAACCAGTTTTTCTCATGGAAACCATGAAAGGACTGGAGAGCTATCGGGCACTAGCTCTGAACTGACCCTGGAACTGCTTTGGTGGAAAGGGGTGATAGAAATAGGAACAGATTCATCAATAACTGCAATAATCCTCAGGTGGATAATATCCTCACTCTCTCATGGAGGGTTCGATCACATGGGACACTTTATTCAAATCAGTCAGACCTTTATTCCTGATAGAAAGAGCACATATTTACGTGTTGTCCGCTTGGCAAACCTCCTCGGGCCCACATGCTGTGACATTAGCGAGGACTGCAGACAGAGAACACAGTTCAACAGAGCAGGGCTCTGCGCTGGGCATCTCTGAACCCGGCATTACAGCGCCACCTTGGAGGAGAATGGAGGTAATGATATTACACTTCAGTGACTACAGGCAGATTTTAAGACAGACATGTTTTAATATCACATTTCACTTAGAGGATCCCTTTCTTTGGGAACCCCCAGACCAGCTTACCTGAGACTCTGCATCCACTCAGGTCTCGAAAAATAAATCGTTGTACACGAGTCTTCCAGGTATCCATCACTGTGCCACCGACTGTTGTAGACAGTTCCTAGTAAAGGATTAAACAGAATGTATTTGTATGCATATTATTTATTTAACAGGGACATTGCACACTAAGAACCATTTCTGTAAATGTGCCAGAGTTAGCCAAGAGGCTCTTTTACATCTGTAGTCCCTGGACAGATGTTTGAACCTTAAAAACACATTTCAAATAACTAGTAAACACAATCATTAAAAACAAAGGTAACCTCAATACTGTAAACATGAATGAAAGTGTTCTAGAATCCACTTGTGATATATTTCCTCCGATGTTAGGGCATGAAGTGACAGTGAGAGCAGTGGGGAGCTCCTTCATTATTCCAGATTGATATTTCTAATGAACTCCTTTGTCCACTTGAGGGCAGGAAGGAGCAGAACCACCTGGTGCTGTGAGTCCAGCCTGCCCCGTTAGCTCTGCATGCTAGCAGCTACATGTGGTGTCACTGATAATAACTCTCTTTGTCTTCATGCTAACACATGATGCTGAGTGACTTCTGCTTCCTGAAACTCTAAGGCTGAGTATGACATTATTTCTGACACCTATCTCTGTTTAGAAGTGAACATAAGAAGAGAGTTTTAAAAGGAGAGGCTTAGAGGAGCAAACAGACTGCACGTTGTCTTCTCCATTCACCTATCCATGCTGAACTGAAAGCTTGTTCTGTATTCATATGAATGATGTCTGATGGTGAGACAAAGGAATAATGGATCACACACAGCCTCAGTTCTCATCTCTCAGGGTGGTTAGGGTACAGAAGTCTTCTCAGGGATCAGTTCTCATTCAGAGTGCGTGTGAGGAAGGCTGGAAGACAGCAGCTTTCTAACATAAAGGATTTAGGATATGAGTTTCCCTGGCACACAGAAACAAACAGGAACACATTGCATTGGTATCGGGACCTGACAAAGTGTAACTCTCAACGTCGGTGAGGCTGAAGGGTTAGGGTTAGGTAAGAGCCTCATGTCATACTTACTAAACTAGAAGAAAACGGAAGGCCAGCAGGATGATATGTAAAGCAAGCAGCTTGTAAACCATGATTGAGGAATGACAACTCCATCACCTGAAAGCAGGAACAGAAGAGAAATATTAGGAAACGCTTCCAACATTTTACAAATAAACTTTGATTTGAAGTTGTCTTTGCCACACAATGTCTTTGAAATGTTCATTTTGTACAAACAGCTGGACAGCCAGTCGGTGTGTAACAGGGATCGGATCAGGACTCACATTCAATCTTTGAACATTGTAGAACGTGAGATCAACTTTACCCAGTCCCTGGGTGTTGATGTTAACAAGATCAGAGCGAGCAGAAAATGATTTCTTTTGTACAGAGTACTTCAGTTTGGTTGAAACCACCCCGTCGCTGGTCACCACACAGTCAATGTCGTCCTCAGATGGGTCATTTTTTAAACAAACTTCAACCTTATTGCCGATCTTCACCTGCAAAAACAAAAAGGGAACAACAATATGAAGGCTTTCGCTCCAAAACAGCATCGTTTCCTCTCCTCAAATGTTTGAGCTGCAAGGTGTGCTTTTAGCTACGGAGAAAAAAGATAGGATCAATGATGAGATCAAAACATTTCTCTCACTTTGGAAAAAAGCTTTCTACAAGCCACTGTCCAACAAGTCTTTATGTGTCCTTTCATACAGAGACACATGAGGAATCAAAGAGACGCGTCCAGCTGCTCCAAACCACTTCCTGTTGGCTCTAGTAATGATCTGTCCCCACTCCATTGAACTGATCTGATCAGTGCCTGACCCCATAGACCCCAGAGGGGAATGTTACGCTCACTTTCCAGCTCAGGACCAGACTCACAGTGATGCATTATGGGACCAAGCCTGTCTCAGAGCGTCTGATATTGAATAATATGAGGGGAAACTTTCATAATACCCAAAATAACAGCTGGCACAAAAAGCACACTTTAAACTTTGTGTGTAAAACTCAATTAATTCTCCGCCTTTAGCAACATGTCATTATTCATGTGCTCCCATATTTACAGGCTGACACGCTGAAAGGTAACAAACCGCTTACATCTAGATATAAAGAAGATCAAGACAAAAACACTAGGGACTGATTCTGAGGACTGTGAGTGATAACATATTAAACAGTGAGTTATGTGTCATATCTATAATAGCTTTATTATGTGTAGTGTTGACAGTTCTGCTGTGTAAGTGGCCGTGACAGACCTGACCTTCACCTCACGACCTCTATTGAGCTACCATTGATAACAAGATGCTCCATTGGCTGGAAATAGAAAGGATGTAGTTTCCATCATGTCTGTTCAGACATGTGAAACCAAACATGTGAAACTAGATGGAGCATTCTGAACTTTTGATCTGTTCATGAATTCAAGTATAAAGTTTCTATATTTCAAATGGAAAGGTTTAAAGAAAAACCCCTGATTCTAAACATGACATTGACAAAGTGTTCTGCTCTCATAACTTTGCTTCATATTCCCTCTCTTTCAAATGACATGGCATTACTATAAGTCTTTATTTGTTTTATTTTTAAACCTTACATGTTTTAATGTTCAATGATTAAAACAGTTGTGACCTCCTTCTGACTCAAAGAGAGGAAGGGGGAGACCACCTGACGCAGAGAGGGAGGAGGAAGAAGCAGTGAAGAAGAATGGAGGAGAAGGAATGAGACGGCTTTAGAACATTTGACTTGTGAGCCTGTTGCTTTTGTATTTTGACTTGGTGTCTTATTGTTTAGGATTCTTGTAATCCTCTATTTCTGTTAAAACCTTAATACTTTGTACACTTCGACCCAACTCCTGGTCTCTCTCGTGGTCTCTGAAGGTTTCTGCTTGGTCTCAGAGTGAGGTAAGAACACCCTTCCTTGGAAAAGGCTGACATTAGTATTGAATAGAAACCCTGTTTAAGTTCAACTATAGTTCCATTGGTCACTGTGGTTGATGTGGTGTTGATTGATGTTGAGATATGATATAAAATGGGGGGTTAGGGATTGTGGGTCCTGAAGCTGCCCTAATTACCAAGGGGTCTCCCAACGACAGAGGGATTCTCCTGCAGGGGCAGATACTGCTCTGGGGTTCTACCAGCCCACCAACATCTACTACACTACACACTCCATGTTGCTATCCTAGCGGTCAGACATCCGAAGCTGGAGTGCCTAAAATAGGGATACGACGGGCAATGTTAGAGGCCACACAGTCAGTCAGGGGGTCATTGTACTCACGTGTAACAATGTGTAGGTTTTTCCATAGAAAGTGATGGGAACGTCGCTGATGTTGATGTTTCCACCAGGAGCATTCAGAGTACCTCTCTGAGAGGCAGAGAGCTCCATCTGGCTGGCAGCAACTGCAGGAGTTCCAGGAGAAACACATCCATCAAGAACAACCTGAACACTCATCGTTCCCTGAAGCCTCTCCTCTGACTTGAAGTGACACTCATCAGTGCAATGAGTGAATAATGATATCTTTATTTGTTCTGTAAAACATGTACTCCTTCAGGGTGAATGTATACAGGGGATCTGGGTTCTGTGCCATTCATAAATACAGGTGGTTGAAGGCTAACCCCCTCATTAACTGAAGCCATCAACATGTTGAATAAGAGCTACCCGTTCAGATTGATATTGATTTCATGGATGAGCTCATGTTTTAAAAGTCTATCATTCAAACATTATCTTGTTTTATTTGCACAAAGCAGACAGTAGAGTAGTGCGGGGCTATTACACACTCGCAGTGACTCTATGCACAGAGGACTTGACTTTGAAACGCATTCATAATGCCTTTCAAACACATGTTGTTTGTCACAGTGAAGCCTGCGATGCTGCTTACCTGCCAGCAGGAGGAGCAGCTTCATGACTCTGCAGAGGAAGAGGCACAAAACACCGGGTTAACGCACCATAACACACAATAACAGCGTACACAATGAAGGGTCCTCGGCAGGAAGTGGTTCATACACTTCCTGAACATTCAAAACAATGTTCTCTAAACCCGTCAAATGCTCCCTGACTGGTTCCCTGATGCCACCAGTTTAGTGATGCAAAGAGGCTGTGAGCAAAACTGAGACATTGAGATAAGAAGACGTACTGGTGGTTTTTAACTGAACACAGATCTGGAAATAGTTTTCCTCAGCTTTGTCATCAATGAACACACTTTCTCACGTTATGTAGAGAAGGCCCGACTCTGTCAGGGGCAGCACTGTGCACGAGTAACTTCAGGAGTAATGCCAATTCCACCGTGAGCTGGAGATGGAACTTTCTTTCTGTGTCGTTAGCGTTAATAGTTAAACAATCAGTGTGTTTCTCTTTCAATGCTTTACAAATGCACACACTTGTTACGAGAGCACACAACATGGATATCCTATTGATAATGCTCTCAAAGTGCTTCAGATAAATGAACACTTTTAGATTTATAAAATATAACAATACACAAGTGATGAGTGGCATCATGTTTTAGACAGGCTAAACCCTTTAATCATGTATTCACAGTACTCATATGGAGGTACTTAAATCATTGTCTTACTCCTGCATGAAATGTTTAAAGTGCATGTTGTTCATTTATTGAAATGAACCTAGCAATAGAGCCAACTGTTTGGTATATGTTAAAGGTCTCCTGTTATACTATTCTTAGGCATATATTATAGCTTTCAGAGATATCAAAAACATGTCTCTGAAGTGCTTTGCTCCAAAGCCCAAACAGATCATTGCAGCCTCATCCTCCCTCTATTTCAGGCCTGCGACTAAAGAGCTGATTCTGGGTCAGTAGCTTCAAACGTGCCCAAGCTGCTGCTGGCCACGCCCCTTTGTGAGTCTCCTGACACACCGGGATACATATGTATGTATGAAAGCATGATAGGTGACCTTTAAGTTAATGCAATGATGTTTTTTTACAACTTCAAAGTGTTGTGTTAGTTGTACTTAATAAACAAGTTGTTCCTACTCACCATACTAACTTAACTTAGTGATTGTGAGGCAATGAGTTTGCATACTTTTTTAAAAATGACCACAGCTTATTAAGTTTTACAATGTACGTTCTTCTACAGCAAAAAGTCTTTACCTCTATTAGTCTTCTGTGCACTTTTCTGTACTTAACTACTTCCACATCTTCAACCCACAAACTCGGTTCAAACATCAAAACGTTTGTCACGATCTGTCTGTGTTTTGTTTTGTCTTTGGTTTCCTGTTTTATTTTGATAAGTGTTCACCCCCTGTCTTGCCTGTTGCTTTCTGTCTGTGTTCCCTCCTGTCTGATTACCCGATTGTGTTCACCTTGTTCCCCTGTGTTTTCTCCTCCCTCCTCACCTGTCTCTTGTTTCTTTGATTAGTCTTGTGTGTATTTAAGTTCTGGTTTTTCTGTCTGTCATTGTTGGTTCCTTGTTTGTCTCTGACTGTGTCACGGGGTAGTGTTCTGATTTTGACGCTTTCGCCTTGGAATAAAGGTATTTTTCTTTGAAATCTGCATTTGGGTCCTGCCTGCTTCACTCAAGCCTGACAACGTTAATCTCAGTTAGGAATGCTATGAATAATATTCACCATAATTCATCCACATGTCACTACAGAAGTCAATGGAGAAACTGTTAAGACTTCAGCTGCTAAGTGCTCCCCGTACTTTACTCGGAAAGCTCAGCATTCAGCATTCACACGGACCTCTCTTCAGGATTCTCTGTGTTTCTGAGGGGACTGGTCCCTGCACCGAGTCACAGGAGGCTTCCTGACGGAGCTGCAGGACCGTGAGGAGAAAGAAGTGGAGACTCACCGTCTGGAGGTCCTGGAGGTCTGGGGCAGCTGATGCTACTCTTGAGGTTCTGGTCCTGGAAGTCCTGGTCCTTCAGGTGCAGCTCTGATGTGGCGCTGTGTCTCGCTCCGTCTGTTTTTATACTGTTAGTGCTCCTCGAGCCCCTAAAGACTAATGCAAACATTCCTGAAAACTTCTCAGTCTGGTTATACGTGTAATTCAAATGTCAGAACGCCCGGAGCAAATACTTTGCTATGTGGCCCTCGTAAACAGGTTTCTACTAAATCTCTAAAGCACAGGTGTCAAACTCAACCTCTTAATATCTGTCGTGTGTTTGTGTCTCTGTGTGTGTGTGTGTGTGTGTGTGTGTGTGAGAAAACACAGAATACAAGCCCCCCCATATACTCTAGAATCGCCACTGGAAATGTGAGCAACATTTTAGGGAGAAAGTCGTAATATTTAGAAAACAAAAGGTTCAAATAATAAAAAAAGAAATTCAATTAAATTTGAACTTTTATAGAGAATATATAGGATAGGATCTTCCCCTTTTTTTTGTGTCACACAGAACGATTTTAAGAGCAATGCATTTCTATTGATAGTATGTTTCTTGCCTGCACCACGACTTTTTGTCCGGTCGGATCTTGGAAGACCGGAAGCTGTGTGTCAGGGTTCAGCGAAGCAGGCAAGACCCAAATGCAGGTTTAACAGATAATACCTTTATTTCAAGGCTTCAAGTAACAAACAGAGCAGAACTTTCCCCCAGGAACACAGTCAACAACAAACAAGGAGCTCACAAAGACTAACAGAAAAAGCAGAACCTAAATGCACACAGGACTAATGAAACAAACAAGACACAGGTGAGGAGGGAGGAGAAAACACAGGGGCACCAGGTGAACACAATCAGGTAATCAGGCAGGAAGGAACACAGAGACAGGAAGCAACAGCAACTCGGGAGGACAGAGGCCGACAAGGGGGACTCGTGTGGACGGCCCGGGGGCAAGGTAGAGGCCAATAAGCGAGACTCTTGCGGACGGCCCGGGGGAACAGCAACAAAGCAGGGAAGTCTGCGGCGGGGAAACTCAGGGGGCCGAAGACAGGGGTGAGGGAATGCTCCGGTTTTTGGACAAAATTAACATGGGATGACTCCGGTCAAAAAAAGTTAAAGTGTTTGAACCTCCAGCCCAGAAGGGGGGGTGGTGGTGCCGTGAAGAAGGACGAATATGGATGCTGATGTGCGGACAGAAAAGCACCACAAAATCCACCCCCCTTTTAGGGTTACCAGGGGCACGAGGTTCTGGTGGGTGTGAATATCTGGGTTTAGTCCGTGGGGGAGTGCTTAAGTGCGGGTACCCGGGCACTCACGGTGTGCAAGGTTATGGAAGTGCCCATGTGAGGGAGACATGCTGGAGGTCATTAGTCCGTCCTTTGGTGGTCTGTGAGCCGCCAAAGAGAGATGATTTTCCCGGTCTCTGTCCTGGAGGTCTGAAATAACCTAAGTGCACATTTTAGGGAGAGATGCTGGAGGTGTTTATTCCCCCCCCCCCCCCCCCCCCCCCCCGCTCACGACACAGGTTGGGCAGGCGCGGTCCTGTAAGTAGATCATTTGGGCGTGGTCATTTTAAAAGTAGCTCCCTAGCTGAAAAAGTGTGGGCACCCCTGCTGTAAGTGATCTCTACAATAAAACAGTTTAGTGCAGGATGTACACAGGTATTAATATGAGGATGTGCAAAACAGACAAACTAATTAACCTTTATTTAAACATTAAAGAATTCTTTAGGTTAAGGTCTTCTTTCAAATAAGAAAAAAGCTTTGGGGGTATCTACAGATACATATTAAGCCTGACAAAGTACTTAACGTCTAATATATTGCTTTCCTGCAATGTTAACTATGTTGAAGCACTTATTTTAACTGATATTATACACATTAATTATACTCTTATATATGTAGATAGAATAAGAAATGTGCAGACTATGACAGTTTAATGCTGGAGGTACACACATATTGATAGATGTCTTGTAATGCACTGTTGAGGAACCTGCGACCCAAGATGTTCATTCATTGCATAACTACACCGTAGTTGTGTATATGATATGTCAATAAACCTTAGAAAATCTTGAAATCTTGAAAGGGATGTGCAAAATAGCAATTACACAGTTTTTAATTAACTATTAGTAGAGAATAACGAGTAATGAATATACTTTATAGAGATCTGCAGATAAATGTTTAGTCTTCTCAAGCACCAACTATCAAATATCTTGTCAGGATTCTCATGTTATGTCACGTTTAGAGTTTTGTATGTCTGGTTATGGGTGTTGTCCTCCTTGTATATTGTCTGGTCCTTCTTCCTGTGTTTTTCCTCCTGTCGTTAGTTTCCCTGGTGTGTCTAATTGTCTGATTGTGTTCACCTGTTGTCCTTGTGTTTCTCCTCCCCTGCCCGGCTGTGTCTCGTCTCGTGATTACCCCTCCCTGTATTTAGTCTTGTCCCTTCCTGTGTTCAGTGTTGGTTCGTCTTTTGCTTGTGAATGAGTTCACCGGTGAGAGTTCTGTTTTGTCCAAGTTATTTTTATTTTATCCTTGAAATAAAGGCTTTTTTCAGCGTTATCTGCATTTGGGTCCTGCTTGCTTCACTCACCGTAACATATCTCTCCTGATTGTTGGCACTTGACAATCACCTTCCCTGAATTTTACTCAGGTGTAACTAAAGTCTGATTTAAGGGTTGTTTATATTTCACATCATTAATCAGAATCTGCAAAGTAACTCAAATAAATGTAGTGGAGTAAAAATACCAGGTTAACCTCTGAATTGTAGTGGAGTAGAATTACAAAGTAACAATGAGCTGTCATGTGGGTATATATTAATACTGCGCATTATGGACACAAGCGATTTTCACCCATTTATTAATGATATGTTTTACATTTGATAACACCAATGTGTTTCCTATCGCCTAAACCTCCAGGGCTGTACACAGTTTAATACTGGCAACTTCTAATTGTGGGAAAAACGAAAACGTCTTTTAAAACTTCAATTCCCAGTAGAGACGTGCCAGAGAGAACATGTTGGGGAACACAATAGCCAGCATGTGTAGTTCTGCTTTATGTGTTACCCTAATCACACCATACATCATTAGCCTTTTATTTGTAAATGTTACAATCAAATCCACAGTCAAGTCCACATTTGCTTTTATGTTATTGGAAAAAAGCCTTAGCTTAAAGGTTTTTCCTTTGAGTACTCTTGCATTTTAATAGAAGTTCAAATCAATATTGGCATCTGAGGTTTTTGAGCCTGCCCATCGTTCCTCCCATCAAAACAATCTGTGGCTTGTTCTCAACTGACGTGTAGGAGGTAAAGGAATGAGAAGAATTTAGTGAGAGCCGTAAATCAGTTCTCTTTTGTTCTTGCCTCTATTATCTCATCTGCATCATGTTGTCAATGTTCTCTCACAAGAGATGTCGTCTTTGTGTGGCACCAGCAACAGTTGCCAAGATGCAGGTCAACAGCCAGCTGAGAAACAGGTAAGCACAACACGTCAACACATCAAACGATGTTATGTAACATAAATGACATAAGTCTGCCACAGTTAGAGCTTTTAACTCAGTTCCCAGTCTTTTTGGAGTTACATTTTCTAAATGAATGGCCAGTGAATGAATATACATGTTTACTTATTTATTTGGTGTAATATTATTCATTTATAGTCCAATATTATCCTATAAGTAATAGTATAAGCCAGTGAATTAATCTAATCTCTTTGTTTTTCCACATTTGTTAGATGAGGAGTGACCCCAGCAGGACAAAGCCACACACCCAGAAGACTTTCAGGGAGCAGCTTGCTGCAGAATTGTTGGAGTTTGCTGAAGGCCCTGCTGAAGGCCCTGCAGAAGGCCCTGCACCTCCACCACCCCCACCCCCTCCTCCACCACTCACATGCATGTCCGAGTATGATGGGGAAGATGCCACCAAGGTTAGGAAGAACTGCAGGAGGGGCCTAGATGCTGGACTCAAAAGGGTGAAGACACCTGTGTACTGCAAGAAGTGCCAGGTCTCTCTGTGCTTCACTGTCAAAAAGAACTGATTCAGGGAGTGGCACGACCTAAATACTGGAACATTCAGGTAGGTATAAAGTTCAGGTAGGTATAACGTTTTGCGAGTGTTTTATTTAAAAAAAAAATACTTATACTTAAATATTTGTTGTTTTTACAAACCTACAGTGTGGTTTTATTGTATAGTACAGGGGAGGCCAACCAGTCAGAGGTTAAGAGCCACATGTTTTCTATGTTACTGCAAAGAGCCACATCAAACAGTTTTTTGTTTTCTGGAGACAAGATTTCAACCACGTCACTGATGCATTTTTGTGGCATTGGGATATCTTTTTTTTTAAATCCTCTGGAGCAGCTGTGGATTATTGTTATTGATTAATGCATCAGTGTTTCTTAGGGTCAAAAACACTAAACTCACAACTTAAAATGAAAGCGTTTAGTTTATGTAATAATCTAGCTTCAGTAATGAACAATTACAGGCCCATATCAAACCTCCCATTTCTAGGTAAAATCATTGAAAAAGTTGTTTTTCAACAGTTGAGTAATTTCTTGCATTTAAATGACTGTTTTGATGTGTTCCAGTCAGGCTTTCGTCCAAACCACAGCACTGAGACTGCTCTTGTAAAGGTCTTTAATGACATCCACTTAAACACAGACAGTGGCAGAACTTCAGTGTTAGTATTATTAGATCTCAGTGCTGCGTTTGACACTGTTGACCACAGCATATTACTAGACCGACTGGAGAACTGGGTGGGACTTTCGGAAACAGTTCTGAATTGGTTTGAATCCTACTTAAAGGACAGAAACAACTTTGTTTCTATAGGTAAATACACATCTGAGTTGACAAATATGACATGTGGGGTTCCTCAAGGCTCCATCTTGGGGCCTCTTCTCTTTAACATCTACATGCTACCACTGGCTCAGATAATGAAGAACAACAAAATAAGTTACCATAGCTATGCAGATGACACACAAATTTACGTAACAATTTCACCAGGAGACTATGCTCCAATTCAAACACTGAGTAAGTGCATTGAACAAATCAATGACTGGATGTGTCAGAACTTTCTCCAATTAAACCAAGATAAAACTGAGGTAATGGTTTTTGGAGCCAAGG